CGGGCGGAACATGCCCATCGAAGAGGTAGACAACGAGGTTACGCGTGCTATGTCGCGTTGGAATCCTGTCTCGTCTAAGACGCTTAAAAAGTACATGGCACTCGTGGAGCGCGAGGTAGAGGCCGCTATAGCTGAGGAAATGCCCGAAAGCATAGGGGTCATGTTCGACGACAGGAGTGCTGGTTCTACTTACTACGTTGGCATCTACGCTGTCTACATGGTCGACGACTTGGCGCAGTGAGTGTTGTTAGCACTCGCTCCTTTACTCGATGGGAACGATTTTGGTGCTGACGCACATATTGCCCTTATCATCGAAACCCTTGCCGTCTTCGGCAAAGAGCCTGGCTGCATTCGCTTCATCGTAGGCGATAACTGTGCCCAAACCAGGCCATAGCGACGCGCATGGGCCTGCCTCTGGTCGGCTGCGCTAGCCATAGGCTGAATTTGGCTATTCAGCAGTACATCTCTGAGCACGAGGCCCTTCTCTGTCAAGTTAATGAACTGATGACTCAGCTACGCACCAAGAAAAACTCTGCGAGCCTGGGGGAGTACACAGATCTTCGGCCTGTGAAGCGCAACGTGACGCGCTGGAGCTCAACTTTCAAGATGGTGAAGCGATTTGTAGAGTTCAAAGATGCTGTGAAGCACGTGGAGGCCGTGGACGAGCTCATGCCTAGGGCGCCCGATTGCAGAAAGCTGGAAAAACTACTCGAAGATTTAAAGGCGCTGGATAGTGTTTGTCTGGCGTTGCAGTCCAACAAAACAACTTTGAGCGATGTCCGCATCATGTTTGACGGTGTCATAAAGCGCTACCCTAATATGGCCAAGTACCTGTCCCAGGATGCAAATATTGTCCACTCGCCAGCTTTTGAATCTGCTGTCGTCAAGGTATTTTTTTATTTTGATTTGTTTTCGTTTTATGCACTAACTTTACTGTTTTTGTCAACAGATAATGCATCAGGAGAGACTGTCTCGACTAGAGACAGCTGCAATTGCGTCATTCCAAGTTGGTGAAAGTTCTGCTTCTGAGCCCGAGGAAGCCAACGCTTCCAGCTTTGCGGCGACGCTGCTGCATGCTGGCAACAAACGGAACTACGCTACTGCCAACGCTCCACAGTACGATTCTCTACTCTTTCATGTGCCCCCGACGAACAACGATTGTGAGCGCCTCTTTTCCAAGGCAACTTCGAAATGATCATGTTTTTGAAGGAGAATGCGTCGTATTGGGGTCGACGCACTGTGGCTACTGTGTAACACCGATCGACTGATCCAATGCAAATGCGCCAAAGTAGAAGGTGAGCACACAATAATACATTGGTATTGCACAATATACTATTATTGTGATCATGGCTGATGAATCATTTACTACGGTTTGTGCTGGCTTCCAATACAATATCAATACGTATTTCCCGAGGCCTGTCTTAGCATACTGGCGTTAAAGCGCGCTGATCCCGAGGCAGTGCAGATCTTCTCAATGTCGCTTAGAAGTTGCGTGTTGTCTTGCATATGCCCTCATGATAAAGTAGAGCATAAATACTCCACAGTCATGCAAGTTCTTTTGGATGGGCCTTATGCAAAGATTTCGGACGACGAAATCGGGTGCGGTTGTACCTGGATGCTTTGTTTCAGTTCTTCGTCAAAATACCCGCCCACTACATTCTTGATTGCTTCGATCTTCGAGACACCAAGGGAGTCCACGTGAATCATGCATCTTCTCAGAAGTTAGTACTGGATTTTGAACGATTGCGAAGGTCCAATGAGATCCCATTCACACGGGTATTATCACCCGGTCGTACTTTTCATATGGAAATGTTGCTGTAAGCGTACAACATTTCTGGTATGCGGCCAAGATGTTTCTCTTGTCCATGTTGTACTCCAAGAAAATGTGCCCAAACAAATTTGCATTCATGACATAAGTCCTTCCATATGTAGGAAGATTAGACCTCAAGTAGTATGTGAGGGCTACATCATTTAGCCAAATCTCGTCCTGAATTGTTTTGACGTCATTGTCTGTAATTACCAGACGCGTGCTGGTTTTACCAGGGACGAAACATGGCGATTGAATTACGCGTATAATACTGGCTTGTGGTATTGCTTCGTCTCCAAAATTGCTTGGAACGAAGTCTTCACTCGACTCATTATCCAGCAAAATAATCTGAGCCTTGGGTGTTTCGGGTGAACTCGACACAGGCGGCTTGGGTGTTTCGGGTGAACTCGACACAGGCGGCTGGGTCTTTTTTGTTGGTATTTGACTTACTGCAACCGCCTTGCGTTTTTTCTCCGCTATGAGGCCGGATATAATGCTGCTGAGATCGTGGCGCTTAATGAACCGAGTTGCCCAGGATCCTTGAGCTGCCGACTCACGTTCACTAAATCCTAGGATTGTCAGGATAGCGTCGGCAATAATATCCCTTCGGTAAACTTCTTGGCCATTTTCCACCTTCTGCTTCACGCACTTTACGATAGTAGTATCTTAAGAGAGTGTTGGTGGAGCCGTTCCTGAGCGTTTTGTGCGTTTCGCAGATGGATCAAAGGTTGAGGAGAAGATGTCGTCTTTATTTTCCATTCATCCATGCAATGTCGTGCGCTGAATGCCCAGTTGCCGGGAC